GTTTGTCTTATGTATTGAGGTGCTCCTATGTTGGGTGCATAGATATTTACAGTTGTTATGTCTTCCTCTTGGATTGATCCCTTGATCATTAGGTAGTGTCCTTATATATCTCTTGTAATATTCTTTATTTTAAGGTCTATTTTGTCTGATATCAGGATTGCTACTCCAGCTTTCTTTTGCTTCCCATTTGCATAGGATATATTTTTCCATCCTCTCACTTTCAGCCCATGTGTGTCTTTAGGTCTGAAGTGGGTTTCTTGTAGATAGCATATGTATGGGTCTTGTTTTTTTATCCATTCAGCCAGTCTATATTTTGGTTGGAGCATTTAATCAGTTTACATTTAAACTAATTATTGATATATATGTTCCTATTGCCATTTTCTTAATTGTTTGGGGTTTGATTTTGTAGATCTTTTTCTTCTCTTGTATTTCTTGACTATATAAGTCCCTTTGACATTTGTTGTAAAGCTGGTTTGGTGGTACTGAATTCTCTTAATTTTTGCTTGTTTGAAAAAGCTTTTGATTTCTTCCATCAATTTTGAATGTGATCCTTGCCTGGTAGAGTAATCTTGGTTGTAGATTTTTCCCTTTCAGTACCTTAAATATATCCTACTGTTCCCTTCTGGCCCGCAGAGTTTCTGCGGAAAGATCAACTGTTAAGTTTATGGGGTTTCCTTGTATGTTACTTGTTGCTTTTCCCTTGCTATTTTTAATATTCTTTCTTTGTATTTACTCTGTTAGTTTGATTAATAGTATATGTCTTGGCATGTTTCTCCTTGGGTTTATCCTATATGGGGCTTTTTGCACGTCTTGAACTTGATTGACTATTTCTTTTTCCATGTTGGGAAAATTTCCAACTATAATCTCTCCAAAAATTTTCTCATACCCTTTCTTTTTCTCTTCTTCTTCTGGGACCCCTATAATTTGAATGTTGGTGCATTTGATATTGTCCCAGAGGTTTCTGAGACTATCCTCAGTTCTTTTCATTCTTTTCACTTTATTCTGCTCTTTAGAAGTTATTTCCACCATTTTATCTTCCAGCTCACTGATTTGTTTTTCCGCTTCAGATATTCTGCTATTGATTCTGTTTTTTATCATCTTTACTATTGTTATTCTGAATTCTTTTTCAGGTAGTTTGCCTCTTTCCTCTTAATTTATTTGGACTTCTGTACTTCTCATTTGTTCCGTCACTTGTATAGTATTTCTCTGCCTTTTCATTTTTTTTTTTTTGAATCTTATTGTGTTTGAGGTTTCCTTTTCCCATGGATCAAAGTTGAATTCTTACTTCCTTTTGGTTGGTGCAGTGGTTTGCGTAAGCTTTGTATAAGGTGAGATTTGTGATGAGTTGTTTTTTTTTTTCCTCTGATGGGCAAGGCTGAGTGAGGTGGTAATCCTGTCTGCTGATGATTTGGTTTGTATCCTTTGTTTGTTGTTTGGATGAGGCGTCCTGCACAGGGTGTTACTGGTGGGTGGGTGATGCCAGGTCTTGTATTCAAGCGGCTCCCTTTGTGGAAGTTCTAACTGTTTGATGCTCCTAGGGTTAGTCCTCTGGTAGTCTAGGGTCTTGGAGTCATTCCTCCCACTCCAAAGGCTCAGGGCTTGACTTCTCTGTGAAGATACTTTTCATCTTAGTGCTCTGGTCCCCAGCAGTGAGTGAGGTGCTAATGAGGCAGGGAGACACCCAGGAGAGCCCTCCTCTATCACCACCCTGCTCCTGGTGAATTCACTCCTAGCACAGTTGCTGCTTGGGCCGCAGTCTGTTTGCCCAGGGTCAGGCACTCTGTTAAAGCTTCTTTCTAAATGTTATCTGTCCAACTGGAATCCCTTTCCAGGAAAGGTATATGTCCCCAGCATTTGTGAGATCCTTGAGGCTTTTTTTTATCCTTGTAAATGTGTTTATTCGTCCACTTTGCAGCCCAGATTATGGGCCATCATTCCAGACTTCACTGGGATGCACTATATTTCTTTTATGAAACTTAAAAAATTCAAAATTTCGATACAAATACATCTGCTCCCAAGCATTTAGGATAAAGAGCCTGTAAATTTTTCTAATTGGTGGTGGTTAGCCATAATAAATGCTTTCACACATATGATATCACTCCTTGCAACAACAGGCCTGCAAGGTGAGCAGGTAGCCCCGCTTTGTGGAAGAGGCAGCTCAAAGTTGGGCCATCTTGTGTTGTCGAAGCTGTGGTCCCAGAGACAGGCAGGGCCAGATATTAGATCCCCATCTTTGGCTCCAGATTGTTCCACTGTGTCACAGGCTGTACAGCGCTTGTCTCTAAATGTTAATTCTTTGTAAACAGGGGCGCTGTTTTCCTTTTTCCTCTGAGACGAAATCCATGGTTGGCATTGCCTGTAGCATGGTCCGTAAACATTCCTTCATGAAAGGTCGAAGTTATGCCATAGCAATACTTTAAAACTCTCAAGTCATGGGGGCTTTGGGGACAGATGGATCTCCATTCCAGTTACAGATCTGCTGTTTATAGTCTCACTTACTTTGGACAAGTCACTTAGCCTCTTTGTGCTTTGGTTTCCTTATTACAAAAATGAAGGACCCCATAAAAGTCTTTAGAAAGTGAGATTATAACAGTTGAAGGAGAAAATATATGTAAAGCACACTCAACATTCATTCACAAATGGTTGTTATGACAGGAAAGTGCCCCCTGTTGACACATTTAATAGATAAAAATTGGATTCATAAAAAAGAAAACTGAGATCTATAGTAATACCATTCCTGCAGGAAGATTCACCTAACTGTAACAACAGTTTGTTGTTAGATTTGTCCGTCTAACATTTTGCTTGTTTTGGGTGGCGTGGCCTGATCCAGAGTCTTCATGGGCAGCCCAGCAATGAACATCTTTGTTCTCGAAGGTCTTAAGGTGGAGCGAGCCTCATTTCTTCACTTGTTCGCCACTCTCATTTCTTCTCCTACCTGCTTTCTTAGCATCTCCCCACCCCCGAACCTAAATGATTTCTTGATCTTGAGGAGAAATTTAAAAGGACAAGGAAAGGGAAGATAAAGGGAAAGCAAAACTGGGAAAGAATCCAGCTTGAAGAACCAGCAGGGCTTTGTGAGATGGGGTGCAGACTTTCCCATCTGCAGCCCCTCACTCCACTCCACCTGGGGACCCACGGGTTACTTCAGTTTGCTGAAGACACAGCACCTGTCTAAATGTCAAGGACACAGAATAGATGGTACTGCCAATGTTTTTCTGTTTTTGTTTTGATTTTTAAAAATTTATTTTAATTGGATAATAATTACTTTACAATGTTGTGATGGTTTTTTGCCATACCTCATTTTTATTTCTACTGTTCATTTCTTTTTTTCTTTTTTTATTGTATTGATATGCTGTTATGTTAATTTATTTTTTTTTCATTGTGTCTACTGTATTCATTTAGAACTAGCATAGCCCTGGCACTTTATTCAACTTAGAACATGGAAGATCACTATTTTTTATTCTTTCCCTGATCTTTTTCAGTCCTCAGTTTGGGGTATTCATGGGCCCTCAGAGCATGAGAACCATTTCCGAATTCACAGTCAAAACATCACCCCAAAAATAGTAAATGATGCTGTCTCTTGCGCCCTCCCTCATGCTCAGCACATGTTCCCTCCAGAGTCCACAACCGCAGCCTCCCTTTGTCCTTGCCAAAGCTGCTTCTTCACTGCCTTTGATTTTCCTTTTTGCTCAGTGCCTCCTGCCACAGTGTGGGAGAGAGACCGGGACAAAGGAGAGAGAAAAGAGGCTAAGTGGAGTAGAAAACCCTGCTGTGACTTACCAAGGACTCTTGCCTAAGATGAAAGTGTCAAAGTATGCCGGATAGAAATGGAAAATGGTGCTTTGAAGTAGGAGCATATGTTTTCGTTTAGAAAACTAAAAATTGCAGGGATTATTTCCTTCTATTGTGCTCTTTCCTGCTCCTTGTTTTTAGATGAAGGGAGCACACACAAAAAGTCAGTATGTGATCCATCTCGCACTATTTGAGGCACTCGATTTCTTTTCTAATAGGTGGAAAATTTTAAATCTCAAAATGAGCCTGGAGCTAAGTTTGCAGGAAAAGCAGCTTCACTGTCACCTGCGATCCTGGACTTGATGATTCTTCTGGCTCCTACCTGGATTCCCTCCCTCCTTCCAGCCTTGCTGCCTTTCAGGGGGCAAATCAAGCTACTACCCTGCTTACAGCACTCAGATGTGTCAGAGACACGGTCCTCTCAGAGGCCCACAGAACCCGCTGTGACGCTCCCCGCCCCTCTGATATCACCCACTGGTCTCCTTGCTATTCTGATCAGGCTCAGGATGCGCTGCACTCCTGTCTCAGGGCCGTCGCATGTGGTCTCATCTCTGTTATGCTTTTCCTCCGAATAGCAGGGCTGGTCCCTCCTGTGGGTCCATCTTTACTCAGATTGCACCTTCTTAGTGGTGCTTTCCCCCCAGTTGCCTTTTTTGAAATTGCACCTCCGTCCAATACTCCCTTATCCCTTCTCCTCAGCAGTTAGAGGTTATCCGGGCATTGAAAGTGATTTGATTTTTTTTTTTTCCTCTTTGGACGTCAGGAGAGATTTCCTTATTTAAGGAAATCTTAAGTAAGGCCTCTTTGGCCTCCACTCTGAAATTATTACCTCCTAGGAGTTTTTTCCTTTTATTTATTTATTTAAACGTTTTCTCTTATATTGAGGTATAGCTAATTAACAATGTAATAGTTTCAGGTGAGCATTGAAGAGATTCAGCCATACCTAAATACATGTGTGGTAATCTAATTCTAATTTAAGAATCAGTATTGGAGTACAGATATTATGCTATTCACATGAACTCATAGCTCAAGTTTAAAAGTAAAATGCACACACACACATATATATATATATATGTTAAAAGTAAAATGAATACACACACACATACTTTTTGTTGTTTCAGAAGTCTTTTCTAGGATCCTTCTCACTTATGCTGCATCCCAGTGTTCACGTGAGACCCATTTGTAATCACTTCTCATCCATCCAACAGGGTGGACTCAGTGCCCAAGCTTTTGTTCGTGTGGAGCTGGAGGATGTAAATGATAATGAACCTGTGTTTCACCCATTAACCTATGTGACGAGCCTTAGTGGCCAGGCGCACCTGGGCACCGAAGTCATCAATGTTCTTGCCACAGACAGGGATTCCGGGCTGTATGGAACAGTGGCCTATGAGCTCGTCCCCGGAGACCTGTCATCCTATTTCACCATCGACCCCACCTCAGGTATGTGAGCTTGGAATCAATAGCTTCTGCGTAAGAACCAGAAAATGAGTTGAAATGATTTTTTCCTTGGCAGGGGTGTTGCAGAACTCACGTCACCTTCCGGAAGGCAAGTTGAGAAGACCCAGGATTTGCTGTTAGGCTGGGACTGGATCTGAGCCTCAGCTCTGCCTCTTCCTGGTCTTATGGCCTTCAGTGGCCTGACTCCTTACCTTAGGAGCACTAGTAGTTCCTATGTTGCAAAGTTTCTGTGAGGATTAAAAGTGGTAAATTATAAAAGATACTGGTTAGTAGTATTTATTTTGCAAATGTCCCCTATTTGTATGATCATCTAAGGATAACTTGCATTCTTTCAATGTATGAATAACCCTAATCATGCAAAAAGCATTGTACTGACATCCAAAGAAATGCCTTTCTGGTGCTATGTCTGGCATTCCCTTAATCTCTTCAGGTCTTAGTCTCATTGCTTCTGAAATGATACCTAAAAATCCTTTTAGGTCTCTTATGTGGTAATTGTGTATCTGCTGAAGAAATCCAGTGGGTAAACTGAATCTTTCAGAAGTAATCACTATTTAAGAGGTTACCTCCCTTCCCTATTGGTTTGTTGTTAACAGAAATGTTTGTAGTGTTTGGTTATAAGAAAATATAAAATTTTAGGTGTATAATATTACATTATAATCCTATAGAGATATTGCAGATATTCTGGTCCTAATAATGAGACTTCAAAAAAATTTTTTCTGTTGTATTTCTTCTTTAAAAATTTTTTATTTTATTTATTGTAATAAGGACACTTAACCTGAAATCTTCCATTTTTCAGTGTACAGTACATTATCCTTTGACTTCCCTGATGGTTCAGTGGTAAAGAATCTGCCTGCCAGTACAGGAGATGTGGGTTCTGTACCAGATCTAGGAAGATCCCCTGGAGAAGGAAATGGTGACTCATCCCAGTTTTATTGCCTGGGAAATCTCATGGACAGAGGAGCCTGGCAGGCTACAGTCCATGGGGTCACAAAGAGTCAGACATGACTTAGAGACTGAATAGCAACATTATCATTGACCAGAGGTACAATGTTACATAGGAGATCTCTAGGGTTTACTCATCTTGTTTCACTGAAACCTTATGCTCCTTCATTAGCACCTTCCATTTCTCTTCTTCACTGATTCCTGGCAACCATCTTTCCACTCTTTGATTTGATGAACTTGACTGTTTTGGATACTTCATAGAGTGAAATATGTAATAACTGTCCTTCTATGGATGGCTTATTTTGCTTAACTTTACGTCCTCCAGGTTTGTCCATATTTTCCTATGTTTCAGAAATTCCTTCTTTTTTCAAGGCTGAGTAATATTACATTGTATGTACATGCCACATCTTGTTTATCCATCCATCTGTTGATAGACATTAAGTTGTGTCTACAACTTGGTGATTGTGAATAGTGCTTCAGAACATGTGGGGATGCAGACATCTCTAGATTTCATTTTTTTTTTGAAACACTTTCTCTGAGCATGGGTGAAATGTGTTTCTATTGTGACGCTAATACTGATATGAGGTGCTACATTGGGTTTTTCTGCACATGTCATACTGGATCTTTACAACACCCTTTGTAATGACTGTATTCATTAGCAGCAAACGATAACTGAGACAGGGAATCTGATCTACCAAGCTGGTCTTCCCTCTTAACTAGCCCCATTAGCTAAAGAGTTACTGCATCTTTCCTGGAAAGTGTACTTCTAGTGTGTATGACTGACCAGGGGATTAGTTGTTTACAATGGCAGTCTTTATAAGACAAAACTTTCCTTACTCAAGATAATCCACTGACATGGTCCCTTTAGCATTTCAAAGATCAGACAAAAATACTTTTTTAGGAAATTAGTCTCTGCTTATCTTGACTTTTTCAAAATTCATCTATACTGAGGACCTTAACTACTTGTCAAATTGTCAGGCCCTCCAGGGCACTAACATTGCCAAAAATATATAGGTTAGCCAGTAATCAGGACACATGATCTAAAAGCATTTAGCAGATTATTTTAAAGATATCAACACACTCATCCTCTAGTTTCCCCTGGACAATCTTGAAGAATGATCTGTACTGTATTGTGTTTTCAGGAGATATTTCTGTTGTTGTGCTGGCTTCGACAGCCACAGACTTCCACTCCTGGCACGGGCATTAGACAAATGCCATTGTTAATCAGGGAGAACACTTTAAGTGGTTATTATCTAAGGGAGTATCTTGGTGTTTTTTTAAAGCAAAGACCAACTTTGTAATGGAAGGGGCCTAGGGATATTATTGTTGGCATTTCGATGCTGGTGAATTTAGGATGAAGACATTCTCAGTCTGACAGGGCTGAGAATGTGGTTGCACCTAATCACAACTCATGAGAAATTCGTGGGACCTGCTAATGATTTACTGTAACCTTTAGGAGAGAATGAAGCAGCATCATGACTAATTGTGGAACGAAGTTGCCTGGTGAACAGGTAGCCTCCAATTTGAACAGCTGAGTTCCAGTTCATCTGTTGGTTGACTACAACTACAGACACATTTTCTATTTTGTACATAATAGTTAGGCCTCCAGGCCCTGCCATAAAAACCAGTTTAAATGCTGATGTTCTCAAAGAATGGAACAAGGAGCTGTACTGGAATATGGTTTTCATCTCCTCGATCTGTGTCTTTGTTGAACCTGTAAAAGGCTGGACTTTCTTGCTTCCATTTTAAAGGCCTGTCTCTACAGAGCCTGCCAGTAGAAACACGGTCTCAAGAAATTGCCTCCATCAGTAAATATATATGGAGTAAATGAATAAATGACATTAGAAATAATTGAAAAATGATTTAAATTCTTATTACAGCCTCTTAAGAAATTGCAGAGCAGTGTCATTGATAACAGAGCATACCTTCATTTAAAATCCTCTTTCCCCATTGCAGAATCCCAGGATCTGAGGGCCTACCCCACTTTTCTCCGGAACTCTCTCAAATTCCCTCTGCAGTATAACTATGCCAGCTCTTTTCTAGTTATATAAATTAAGTACACACACATGCATGTGGTTGTACATATGTATAGCAGAGGAGAAGACTGAGAATTGATAACGGATCTATACATTGTCACTTCTTCCTGAAATACTCTGAAATTCTCTCTTAGAGACATTAATTCATTTACTCACTGGTTCCTTTGTGCTTTCATTTTGAGGCTTCCTATATCAGATATACTATTTTATAAGCTTATATAGGCTCCAGTTTTCCTGAAGACAAGAGATTTTCCATTATCTGTTTATGCCATAACCAGGACTCATGCATTAAAAATAGAGTTCTTGGACTTACTGTGTTTAGCTGGGAAGAAACATATTTTAGAGAAGGGGGTGTGGCGACGTCCTATTGTTTCCTCTTGTGTGTTTATCTTCCTGTTCTGTTTCTGCTTCTCTAAGTGTGTTGTTGGTTCAAAGAACATTTTTTTAGAATGTGTCTCAGCACCAGGAGAAAGATTGACTTGAGCCATCCTTTCTCTTATTCTTAGTTACTGGTTTCCTTTGATGTGGGTACAAGGCAGACCACACTCTTTTGAGTTTTAAAAGGAGGAAACACAGGAAACTTACTTATTAATAGCCCTTTTTCATGTATTTTTCATCCTGTTTTATGAACTATTGGTTGATTTTTTTCCTACATTGTCCGAAGTAGTCTTTTTAATAATGTAAAAAGAACAATTTTTAGCTTTTGTGTTGATTCTATTTATTTAGTGATTTTACTCTGCAACAAGCATTCCTTATAACTCAGATTATTTTAAGGTGGCAGATTTCAAGCATTTGTGTGAGAACTTTATTGTTGCCCAGTTATCTCTTTTGCTAGGGCCCATGGTTACATTTCTGTGATTTATCTCTTTTTATGCTAATGGTATAAGAAGAAGTCAAAAGTTCTGAAAAGAAAGACAGAAAATGGAAGCAAGTTCATTGTTTCCACAGATATTGTTTCAATGCCTGTTATGAACTAAGCACAGTTCTCAGTGTTTGGAATACATCAGTGAACAAGACAGATAAAGATTCCTGCTCAGTCTCATAGATCTGACAACAAAAGCTCTCATCATTTCACCTATTGTCTGTTCTGGGTTTAGTAGTGGTGTACACAAATCCAAATGTAACACTACGGAAGGACAAGTAATTAAAAGGGCAACCGAGGGAGTTAAACAGACAAACGAGGCCCGCACTGCCTCCAGGGTTAGTTGTGATCACCCTCTTTGGGCAGGGCGTGCGCATTGTAACAGGAATGAATAGCAATGGAGCACCAGGACAGCTTTCCTTTATTTCAAGGGCAGATTCTTTTCTAGTGCTAGTTTTATGCTCAGATTTCATACCTTGTAATGATTCTCATAACTCTACATGAGTGTCACCTTCCTACAATCAGAGTGTTCTGATATATAGTTAACAAATTAATACCACACCTTATTTCTAAAGCATGTGAGTCTGCTCATGCCAAAATAAAAACCAAGATGACTTTCTTTAATTTGCAAGACAGAGACTAAAATGAATCACAAGCACCTAATCAATGTATATCACTTTCATGGGAAACAGAAGCATGTAGAAAGTTTTCTCATCAGTTTTTCCAGTTAAAGATCACAGACTTGGAGAGGGAAGGAACCTTACGGTGCAGCTCCCTCCTTCAGTGAGGAAGAAACTGAGGCAGGAAGAAATGCGGTGACTTCCCTAGAGGCACACAGCTGGTCCGTGGCATAACTGGGCTTGAGCTCCGTCCTGGACCTGTGATCTGCTGTGGTACTGCTCTGTATCAGACAATGCTTTTTGACATCTCTTCCATATATTGCTCATTTGAGCTTTCCATTAGCATATGAGATAAGCAAGGCAGTTTTTATGCCCATCCACAAATTAAGAGACTGGAGACCCTAAGAGTCTTAGTGATTTGCTCAAGGCAATAGTAGTAAACCTGACACATTTTGACTTCTCAAATTTCCATTTTGAAGCTCTTTCCATGATTATGGTTTTGAAACACAGAAAAAAAAACCT